CCGTGCTGACATCGTGCCGTCATTATGCCAACACTTTGTTAGCTGGGTAGGCCACTAGCGGCGCTTCGCGCTCTGATCTACTATTGCGCAGTCTCAAACCTTAATGGCGCTGGCAGCAGCCGAGGAGAGTTGTCTGTCAGTTGACGAGTTCATCATAAATATTAATTGAAGAATGTTTACGAAGTGAATTCATTGGTTTTTGTGTTTATTTTACACTATGCACGTTAGTTCACATTACAGTACGTTAACGTACTGTGATGCTGAATACCATGCTTCGCATGACAAACGTGAAATTCCATTGGAAAACTATGTCTCTATAGTTATAATTTATCAATAATCAATAAGCGTAAAAAAATAATCAATGTAATAATAAAGAAACGTTAGAAAAGACTGTCACGAATAGGTTATGAAAAGACTTGACACATTAAGTCACCTTCAAACTCAGGGTCTTCAGGGAAAGTAATAATAATAATAATAATAAATAGTGTAAAATAAACACAAAAACCAATGAATTCACTTCGTAAACATTCTTCAATTAATATTTATGATGAACTCGTCAACTGACAGACAACTCTCCTCGGCTGCTGCCAGCGCCATTAAGGTTTGAGACTGCGCAATAGTAGATCAGAGCGCGAAGCGCCGCTAGTGGCCTATGCTTCCGATGTGTAAAATTTTATTTTTTGCATATTTTATTATTGTTACAATTCAGCGGTTCCAAAATTGATTTTTCTATACTAGCAATTTATGAGGATTTGATAGCAATTTAATTCGAGCCTATAGATGCATTTTTCACGAAAATAAAACCATTTGAATTATTTTCCAGCAACCAAAGTTATTTCGCATTTGTTATTAAACTAAAGGTCTAGCAATTTTTTTTTTTCATTGCATTGTAAGGAGGATATGATTTCCTACAAGTACATATGAGTTTTTATTGCAAAAATCGGTTCAAGTTGCCAGCTTCACGAAGCTTATATTACTCCTACATCAAGTCAAGTCAAGTCAAGTCAAGTTGAGCGTGGTAGTAAATCTATAATGATCCAAATTTCGCGTGTTTTTGAAGCCCTTGTCTATAATATGACGCAGAGCTTGCTCTCACTCAGCGCTACTAATGCAAGAAGAAGTCTGTTGTGTCACATCAGCAAGCGGCTGGTAAATACAACGTCAGTCTGCACTCTGCTCGTACAAAATCCAAACACGACGAAACGCACCTATATTAAAATTATGCACCTATAAGTTTGCAACTATGTGTATAGCATAACATAGTTCGTTACACATTACCGGCTTGCAGACACTAAAAAATAAACGCATTCGTTTATCAAGTAGTTTGTTGATCTATGAATATTCATCTGTCAGTCAAGTGACTTATCAATTATTAAACAATTTTTACACCATAATCGAAATGGCGGCATCATTCGAAGTCTTACGAAAGGAATTCTGTGTAAGTTAAATTTTGATCATTTTTTTAGGTTACATCAAAAGATATGTTTAAATTATAAAATTATTAAAAGTTATATTTAAATTTGTTTTTATTTTCTACTTAAAACATAATCTTCATTTAAAAGTAACCAGCGTATCAAATAGAAGAACTTCATAGCAATACCAAAATCGAGATTAAATTGAATATTTCTCACATCTCTGAAGTTTACCCTTGAAAAACGAATGAATATCTAAGTATCATAAAAAAGAATTTAATTTTCCAAGAACTACATACTTGTAGATGTACAGTAAACTTGAAAATATTCAATTTTACTATTACTTCTGTATGAACTATCCTACATTAAAGTATAATTTGTAAAAAAATTAAACATATAATTTATTTAACTCTCTAAATTGTTCACAGGAATACCTGCAATTATACATGAAAACTTCTGATACTGCAACGCTGCAAAAAAAATGTTTAGAGCTATGCCCCAGTGAAAAAGACAGAAAACCAGCTATAGACCAAGCTCTTCGAGATACATTGATGACTATTTTAACTAAAAATCCCAAGAACACAAAAGCTCTTGAATCATACATTAACTTTTGTATTGACATCTGTAGGAGAGAGCTTACTAATATCAGTGTTGCAGTGATGTTACTCAGTGATATATTTGACACATTAACTCTAGATCGTTGTGAAGAATTGTTTACTTACGTTGAAAACAATGTAAAAATATGGAAAGAAGAGATATTCTTCTCTGCATGCAAAAATAACCTCCTTAGAATGTGCAATGATCTTCTAAGACGTCTGTCTAGATCTCAACAAACAGTATTTTGTGGAAGAATTTTATTATTCCTTGCAAAATTTTTTCCATTTTCTGAAAGATCTGGTTTAAATATCGTGAGTGAATTTAATGTGGAAAATGTTACGGAATTTGGCACAGAAAAATCTCAAAAAGAAGATGCTCAGCAGATGGAAGTAGATGAAGAAAAGAGCGATATTAAAACTCCTATTGATTTCAATTTATATAGACAATTTTGGGCTCTACAAGATTTCTTTAGAAATCCAAATCAGTGCTACAATAAAATGCACTGGAAGGTTTTCTCTGCTGTAAGTGAACATTCAAATTTTAGAAATGTACTATAATATTATTTATTTTCTAATAATTTTCATTTTTGCAGCATGCATCCAATGTATTATTGGCATTTTCATCATTTAAATTGGAGGACCAGAAAGATTGTAAAGTAGATTATTCAAAATTAGACATATCATTCGATGGAATTCATAAGGATGCAATATATTTTGCTAAATATTTGACAAATGAAAAATTATTTGTTTTGCAACTAGCAGATTCCAATTTCAGACGATATGTGCTGCTTCAATTTTTGATTCTTTTCCAATATTTAAATAGTACTGTAAAGTTCAAATCGTGAGTTTAAATTTTTTCAAATTGATTAAAAATATAATTTATTATAAACAACATAATTCTAAAAATAATTTTCTTACAGAGAAACGCATGAGTTAAAACCTGATCAAGTAGAATGGGTTAACAAAACTATTGACCAGGTTTTTACACTGCTTGCAGAAACCCCTAATGATGGACCAGCTTTTGCAGACGCTGTTCGGCACATTTTAAAAAGAGAAGAATTTTGGAATTCTTGGAAAAATGAAGGTTGCCCTGCTTTTAAAAGACCTGCTCCAGATTGTGCAGAATCTGAAGATAACAGAAAACCTAAAAAAAACAAAAGACGTATTGGTGATATTATTAGAGATACTCAAGCTAAAGGGCAATTTTTTATGGGCAACGTAGAACTGACTAAACTATGGAATTTGTGTCCAAATAATCTTGAGTCATGTAAATCCAAAGATAGAGACTTTTTACCATCTCTTGAAGCTTACTTTGAAGAGGCGATTGAACAATTAGACCCAGCTGCACAAATTGAAGATGAATATAAGTATGTCACTGTTATTTACTTTTTTTCTAATTTTGTAAAATTTTATTAAATTAAATTAAATTTTAGGAAAGTCAATGATGGAAACTTTGGTTGGAGAGCACTTCGATTATTAGCCGAAAGAAGTCCACATTTCTTTGTTCATGGAAATTATCCAATTAATAAATTACCTGAATACCTAGAAATGATGATAAAAAAGATCGCTAAAGATAAACCGGTACAAGTAGAAGTGAAACAAGATTCTGAAGGTACGCCTCAACAAGAGCAAGTTGAACAGGAATATTCTGAAGAAACAATAAAACAAGAAACTGAAACTTCAACTGTAAAACCAAAAATTATTAGTAGAATAAGCCACAAATTAGTTGAAAAACTGGCTGAAAATTTGAAAAATCATTGGGATAAACTTGCGACTAAACTAGGTTATACTAATGACGAAATTGCTTTCTTCCGTAAAAAAACAACGCCATATGAACAGTGTCAAGAAATGTTAGCGATATGGACTGAAGAAGATCCAGATGCTTCGCTCGAAAATTTAAAATCAATTTTGTCTGAATTAAATCACACTGAAGCATTAGCAATTATTGAAGCAGATTCAACTTAAAATGCATTCAAATTATAAATAATCAATAAAAATAGATAGTATCATAACAAGTAGGTAGATTTAAATAGTCACACAGACTACACTGACTCATAAAGAAAAAACGATGTATATAGCATTTAAATATCTTTAAATTTATTTTCATAAATTTATTTAGACCTAAACTATTATTACTATTGTATGTATTAAAAATTACATTACATACACTCTAATAAAATTGATATTTTTGACTCAACTCTTTGAAAGTTCAGTCACACTTGCGTTTAAAATTGAGTTTGGTTTAAAATACACAATGTTGGAAATATTTTACTTCTCTGCAGTAGCTATTATAATGTTTCCAACAATACTATGATACTTATGATTAGGGTATTCTTTTAATTTTTAATATAAATTTTTTTTTACAAAGTTGAAAATTTTATATCAACAGAGCATACACAATTTTTTACCTATAATGTTGAATATTGTTTAATTTCTGTAAATGGAAAAGTAATAGTCATAATTCTGCATCGCTCAGTCTTAGTCTGTTAAATGTACTTAAAAAAAGAGTTTTCAAAGTCAAGATACATAACTTGCAGTTCGCAACTTGATTATTAACGTCAATAGAATAGTCTCCGGATAATTGCGATGGATTTAAATGAAAAAAATTATTTAACTGCTAATAATAAACCATAACTAGGCAAACAATTATTTATCTCTAAAAAATATGTGTTTTAAATGCAAAGTAAAATGAAAAAAAAGTAGAGTTAAATGGAGTAATGGAGAAAAAAAAATACAGTTTCCGAACATAACACAAAGATTCACTCCCCCCGAGACTCATGAATATCCATTTTGCATGATTACTCATTTTCTCAAATCGATCTAAGTATAATAAGTTACTACCTAATGGTTTATGTTAATAAAATACAATATATTTTCTACACTATGATAAGGACGAGAAGGATCTATTGTCTATGATTTTATAGATTGAATGTGCTTCAAATAGAGCGACTATTCAAATTCGTAAAATCGGACTTCTCAAAAGGCTGGAATAAAATATAATATCATTTTTCGCCTCGAGAATTAAATTTTTTACAACGCACACAAAAAGGGAAGCATACGCACACAGCTTGATAAATCAGAATTCCATACTTCATAAACACGTAAAAACTTCACGTACAGCACGCAAGTTATACTCTCTCTCTCTCTCTCTCTCTCTCTCACACACACTCACTTTGCCATATAATACATAAAACATTTTTTTTGCGGTATCTTAGAGCTGCAGCTTATAGATGGAAAAAATACCGATAAACATTTAAAGCTATTCGTCTTACTCATAGATCCATTCGTATTACCGTCCTGCCTGCAGCGCACATAAGGACCAACGAGTCATTCGTTTGTAGCGACTAGTACCTGCAACCCTTTCTTTAATTTCGAATTATTTTCTGAACTTTTGATAAATAAAGTTGAAATCGCTTTAGTCACGGTCACAGCACGACGAGATATAAAAAGAACAATACATTTTGATGCGAACATCGCGGCGAATCTATAACAGTGGTCTCATTCGCCATTGACTGTAAGCATTAATATTTCATGAGTTACATAATTCCAGCATGATAAACTTTTATTGTTTGTGAATTCTTCAATTATACCGCATGAGGCTCAAGGAAAGCATTTGATTGCCTCGTTATGAAAAAACTATCGATATTTTTTTCCTACTAGCCCGAGAGTAGAATTTTACATCATTGATCCAAAATTAATGTTCCGTGAAATTTTTCTCGCGTACACTTATTTTTTACCCTCTTTATTTATTTATTTTCCATCAATTTTCTCAAGTTCGTTTTTATTTTTCGTTATGCCAGCCACACCACGCCGATGTTTCTTTGTTTCTCATTCATTCGTCAGGCTCATCGAATTACCCGAAGGCTGCGTTGTCTCTTCGAAAGTTTTTCGATGCAATTAAAACAAACGGTATTATATTAAAAGTTTACCACCGAGTTTGCGTAAGTTGAACTTAAAGCTATCCCCCGTAAGATAAGCAGATAATCCCAGGTATACTGCTTGAAAAATATTATATATTGCGCGGCTCTCTCCCGCGGAGCTTCCCGATCAAAACAAACAGCGACTCGCGAAAGTTCGCGATTGCCTCGTCACGGACTCGTGCGGTTAATAATAATGCGATTCGAGCTTTTCGTGGCAAGATTTTACTAATACGATCCGAGGCTCGAGTATCGTTTGTATTCCAGCGCCATGAGCTCGATATCGTCACACGCATGTTTAGCGATACAAAAGTAATAAGTTTTTGTCAACAGAACTGATGCCAAATGCAGCATCCCATTTCGCGTCGAATATATGAGCAATTCTCTAAATAAAACGCATTTTTGGAGGTAGAATCGCGGCAAATTTTTTTTTCAACCTACGCAGATACGGACCCCCGGGAAATGTTTTTGGGGGTCCTAGGAACATGTAACCACGTAGGAACCATTGAAATTTCAATAGTGCCTACTTTTATAGCTACTTTTGTGATTTAGAGGACGAAAAATCATGTTTTCTCGTAATTGCGGCTAGTTACTCGATTTCCAAGTCGTTGAAAAAGTATCAAAACTCATCTAAAAAACATAACTGGCTAGTCTGTTCGATAGGAAATTTTCTCAGCTTTCCAATGGTGGTGTCAGATTTTCCGATAAGTCGCACATTCACCGAGAGAATCGTCATCAAACGTGCCAAGCTAAATATCTCGAAAAACTCGGAACGGTAGAAGTAAACTTTATGGTTTATTTTCAATTTTTCCTTGTATAAATGAGATTTTTCGGAAAATCTTACTGCACCATGAGAAAGGTGAGGAAATTTCCTATCGAAAGAATATCTTCATTTATTTTTTGAGTCGAATTACAATGTTATACATGGGAATTTTTTTTACTTTGTTCGCTGTTTTCTATTACCGAGCTGATTCAGCGCGGTCGCGAGGTTTTCGGCTCGCTACAATCAAAACTAGCTCGTAATTCCACTGAAAAAAATAAATGAAGATATGCTTTCGATAGGGAATTTCTTTGGCTTTCTCATGGTGTAGTCAGATTTTCCGATAAATTTCATTTTCACAAGGAAAAATCGAAAATAAACCATAAAGTTTACTTTTTCCGTACCGAGTTTTTCGAGATATTTAGCTTGGCATGTTTGATGGCGATTTTCTCGGTGAATGTGCGACTTATCGGAAAATCTGATACTACCATCGGAAAGCTGAGGAAATTTCCTATCGATTACAGTAGTCAGTTATATTTTTCAGATGAGTTTTGATACTTTTTCAACGACTTGGAAATCGAGTAACTAGCCGCAATTACGAGAAAACATGATTTTTCGTCCTCTAAATCACAAAAGTAGCTATAAAAGTAGGCACTATTGAAATTTCAATGGTTCCTACGTGGTTACATGTTCCTAGGACCCCCAAAAACATTTCCCGGGGGTCCGTATCTGCGTAGGTTGAAAAAAAAATTTGCCGCGATTCTACCTCCAAAAATGCGTTTCATTTAGAGAATTGCTCATATATGTAAGTTTTGTGTATCAGCTGTGCGCGCATTCAAGCGAGCTCGCACTTCGATTTTCCCATCGAATCGCCATAACCTGGATCAAAAAAAGGTACTTTGAATTATACGATCGATTGGAGCCAAAAAATATTATAACTTCGGGGTCTGAAGGGACGAAAGTCCTCAATGGATTTCCAATGATTGGATTTTTAGCTGCTACGGAACAGGGGAGGGAAAAAAGAAATCGCCAAGGTTGTAAATTTTCTATAAGAAATACGGCGCACGGGCGTGCTATGTATATATATATATAGAGGTGTATATATACGTGCGGCGAAGCGCCGTGCAGCCGTAGAAAATGTAAATATTTGCATCTTCAAAAAAGATACCATGTAAGTACCAATGACGGTTTTAAATTTAAAATGACTCGCCAGAAAAAAAGAGATGTAAATTATCGTTTGCTGTCGTTCGATTCGCATCGAGGAAATATATGGTAGCGATAAATTTTCTAGGCGTTCGCCTGTAAAAAAGCCTATACATATGAAATTAATCCAATTATTATTCAAGACTCCGAGTTTTCGGTAACTCGAAATGAAGTGGATATTCGTAAATATATGTAGGAGGCGCATCCGCTATTATATTTGCTGTACACCGCGCTCTCTTCTTTGCATCACAGCTTCAGATAAATTGTTGAATAGCAAAGCTCGGCTGTTTTTTCATCAAAGACGGCTCTGTTTTCAAAGCTTTTCCTTTGATTGTAGTTCACAGTCGACTTTGCTGCGCGCTGCTCTCACCGACCGAGTAGTACAAACTGCAAAAATCTCTTTACATGTATATAGCAACGACCTAACAAGACTCAAGTCGAGGCATCAAAAGGACAACTTAATGTTTTCGAATGTTCACTTTGCGGAATGTGCGGCATGGTGATTAGCGACGAATGAATGAGCATCTTCGAGTATTGTTTCGAGTGCGCATAACTTTTACCTAAAATCAAAGAAACATTAATATTTACTTAGAGTAGATTGCGAGCAACGTATTCCTTGCCTTGGGCTGTAAACGATATTCCATTTTACAAAATTTCCAGAATTGTCCAAAATCAAACATCGATCGCGAGTACATTTGACGTTATCTTAAACTTATTGAGCAAGCAGCGAGCTTTTTTGGAATTTCCACTGAAAAAAAACAGTTATGCTATACTTTACTTTGTTTTTAAAGTGAAGTACTCCTATGTGACAGAAAAAGTAGTGAACACAGTCGGATATTTTATTTTTCCACATAAAATATTTTTTCCCTACAGTTACGCTATCGGTGTGTATCTTTCAAGAGGATATACAATCTGATATTTCGCACCGAAAGCAATCATTCGAGCGAAACGCGATTACTGCGATAGACCCGACCCTTTGGCCGCCTTCTCTCTCTCTCTCTCTCTCTCTCTCTCTCTCACTCGGCAAACGATTTCCCTGCCCAACTTTAGAATGTATAGACGAACGCGACTACCCGAGCTTCTTCATCCACTTTTATTCGGACATCGTGATTCACTTGTACGTCCCTTTTCCTCCTTTCTTTTTCTCTGTCCCACAATTTTAATATGACCAACGCCTTTTGAAGTATTACCTGTCAAAGCGAGTACGAGGAGTTGAATATTGCGCGCTCATGAATAAATGCACATCGTGTACAGAAAGCAGCGACACAATTTTTTTAATTTTCTATGTCTTATTGTGCGTAAAGTAGATGACCGCGTAACATATTTACGAGTTTGCTGAAAAAAGATTGATGAAACACGCATAACGCGGAAAAAAATTTCTCTTGAAAATAATCTGAGAAAAATCCATTTTCCAACATTTTATTATCAAGCAGAAAAGCTCCCGAGAATTTACAAATATCAATCTAAGCTTTTTAACCCTGAATTTTTTTTACAATTTTCCCCGACCCCCTGAAAATATGACTGGCAGATTTTCGCAAGCTGCAAATATGCATACAGCGATGTAAATAATGAATAGAAGCGGATGAAATTCGTACAATTACGTATTATTGTGAATAAATTTTTTCATAAGTTATGTGTACGAGAA